TACTATGTAAACACATAAGTGGATATCAAATACGATATTATTGTTTATATATGATTATTATATGTTAACGGTGTTGCGCAGTAAAAATTCTGAGGTAGTATGCGAGTGTGTGTGATTATTATCTTGTTTACAAAGTTATAAACGATGTGATTGACATATGATGAATTAGGAAAGTAGATGTGTAGCCTACGATACATCTGATCTTAGGTGCAATTATCACGATTGTGCCTCAGGTATTTACTGTTAATAAAAACTGATTGCAAATTAGTTTTGATCCAATAGCTAATGGTTTTTGTCATTACATCAATTCTCCTATTTACGAAATTGGAAATCGCTGCCATTCATGAATACTTGTAATGGAAGTGTAAAGGTTTGATACGATAATAGCAGTTTGGATTAATTACTGGTAACTAAGTTTATTCATTTCTGACATCCTAATATACGGTACTAAATGAAATAACGATCTTTTCATTGCAACACGTTAGCATGGTCATGACAAACGTAATATTTTATATTTAGCATATGCATATTATTCTTTAGAATGATAAAACATAATAATCAAACTATAGTAAAGCATTATTTCTAAACCACATAGGGTGTATTTTTTAAAATACTTTACAGAATACATGATAACATTTATGTATAAGGTTTCTCGGCTACATAAAGTTTAGCCCTATACTCTACGTGAAACGAAACAGAAAATAATTATAACGTCAGCAAACCGGAAAACAATGTTTTTTTTTCAACAAAAGAACAGACACATTCCTTATTCAATTGTGAAAACACGTGACTAGAACCAATTCACACGTTATATGTGGTTTTGATAATTTAAAGGAAATGAGAAATAATATATTCTTTGTTTCGTGACACATTATATTCTGCAAATGTAACAGGGCCGTAGCCAGCATTTGCCGAAGGGTGAGTGGTGTGGGGTGGTGGTACGGTTGGACATAGGGCTCAGATGGCCCAGGCGCTTAAGTGTTATAGAACGTAAATATATTATACATCTTACGTTTAACAAAGATAATATTATAGTTTTCATTCCAAACGATAAAAATTACACCAAATTCATCTCATCAGGATGATTCTTTAGGTCACAGCTGCCAAAACACTAATTTCGAGTCCATTTTCAGTGCCAATCTGTTGTAATTTTAATTTCATTTAATAATGGATGATCGATAGTTTCTCTGGCAATGCGAGCCGTCTCTTCCCAAACTAGCCTCCGAATTCCGCTGCAATAGTTTAAATACGGATCAACGGGATCCATAACTATTGGTGTATCGTCAAAACTGAAAATAAACACAGAAAATTATACCGTTTAGCCTATAGTTTCTTTTTGACTTACAAATATTCGCATTCTAACCCACTGAATGGACCCTGGACAGGCTTTCATATCATGCAGCACTTTCTCGTCCACTTGAGAACGCCAGATTTATTTGAACCAATAAATAGAGAGGAGTTCTAGGTTAGTAGTTAAGATGCTTGCCTCCAATTCCATGGTCCTGGGTTCAATTCCTGCCCGTTATCAGGATGTTGTTGTCAAGATCAAAACAAGTTTGCTTCCTAAGACCTGTTATAAGACTCAGTTGATGTACAGCATCATATGTTAGGTATGTATAAAGAATTACCCCTTTTTAAATATACCTGTTTCTGAATAAATATATAAAAATTTCAGAAATCTGAAATAATTTAACGATGAAAATGAACATTATTCAAAACTGTATCAAAGTTTTGTTGGATTTTTCCCTGCTACAAGGCCTATTTTTGTCGAGGTTGACACTTTGACTGTAATTGTTGGGTCCCTATACTTACCAAATACCCATATGCTTTGCCGCTTCTTCCATAGACGTTCTATCATATCGCCCAAGGGAAGTTCCTCCCCAAATCACAAGTATCCCTGACCAGTCACCTAGTGTTCCTAATACATCTATAAGTCCTTTCCGAACATCAAACGTCAGTGGAGATCCTGCTTTGCACCAGCAATGCAGAGTTATGAGTTCGAAGAATTCGGGTTTAGGTGCACCTCCTCGCAGCGCGAGTTTCGTTGTCTGCCACACTTTCACCACTCGCAAGAGGTCGTGTAAGTTGTCTGGCGTATCCTTAATTAATTTGGATTGTATTTCGAGGATGGTTGCATTGTACGGAGATCTCTCAGAAACTGTCAACAACTTGCGGTAAAATGTACAAACGTTTGCTAAATAATGAAGTAATAATAATAATAATAATAATAATAATAATAATAATAATAATAATAATAATAATAATAATAATTGTCGACTTATATAGCGCATATTGTAGACTAACATCTATGCGCTTTATGTTAATACCCCCGGTAACATGTATTAATTATGTACACATTATCTGACGATTAATGGGATAAAAATAATTTCCAAGTTTATGAATACAGAAAAAAAAATAAGCAGTAGGTATATTACAATAATAACACGGTACGTTTATGCCTACACAATAAGTGCTTTTTAACATAGGAACAGTCTAAAGCCCTTGAGAAATAAACCGATCGCATGTAAAACATAGATAAATATTTGAAGTTTTTTACATACACATTAAAAAATTACCGTCTATGATGAGCTTATAAAATTCGAAAATAACACAATTTTAATACATAAACTGCTTACTTTGTACTTATTTAAATAAAGACAACTAACTAGATGGAAAAAAAAGGAGAAAGAAAAAAAGGAGAAAAGGACAGCGATTACATAAGTGAATGGAAAACATTAAATGTGGCTTTCCATGAAGTATGAAGTATGGAGAATGTGTAAGAAAAGTGCGTTGGTCACCCATTGCTGGAGAGATGTGGTAGCCAAACTGCTTTGGGCAGAGGTTAGCAATCAAAGTCTACATATTATTTCTTTATTGATATAGTGTGCTAGAGTGATTAAGAACACTATCATTGCAATAACAATCAGTTGATGATGTTGCTATTTGAACCATCATCTTTAGTTCTAAATAATTAGGTTCTGGAGAGAAGGAGAAGATAGAATGAAGTGACATCAATAAAAAAAAAAAAAATATATGTTACAAATTTACAAACCTACCCTGGCTTGGGTTAGACCCGAGCAAATCGACAGTAGGATAAATATTGCAAGTTACCATACCATCAGATGTAGGTAAATAGATAGGTACATATTGCTGGGTGTCGGCTATATCTCTCATTACTATGTAGTTGTCTTTCTTTAGATATTCACGTATTTCATTCAAAAGAGATGGTAATTGTTTCGAGTGGTCTTCAATTGCACGAAGGTCAGTGACGTACAAAAGCAGATTAACATGAATGTCATCCTGTGTCGATGTAGCTTTACCCCACGAGCCAGCCTGATAAAACGAAAGTAAGGTTGATAGATAATATTTTAATAACATTAATAACAACAACACTAACAACAACAAAATTAGCTGTAATGGGAAATGATGTTTTGCCCTACCTAACGTCTAGTATCATTGTACTGAATGCTCAGTATGTTCCTATAAACACTTGCAAAACATCTCGCAAGTGATTCTGATGGGGAATCGAACGCACGACCTCCAGAAACCAGCCTGGCATCATATTCACAGACCACTGCTTGTGCTTAGTGAGTGTTGAATCCGATTCCCAAGTAGCAGTGCTTACAGTACTGCACTGCAAAGCATTATGGAAAAAATAATGATCATGATAATGTTAGTGATGCATGAGGATGATGATAATGCTAAGTATTTATGATAGGCCTATTTACAATGATAACAGATAATGGTGATGTCTGTACGTAGTTTGTATTTATGGGTAGTAAGAGACAAGTGTAAGGTGTACGTGTGTTTTTCCATGTATGATTCATGGTTCAAAGTTTGAACTCACCATTCCTACTCGTCCGATGGCTACAGACATAATTTTCTTTAATTTTTCAATGAGTCCTTCAAGAGCACCATTGAGTTGTTCAGTTGTGGACTTAGTTGGACGAAGTTCTTCAAGATACCGTTTAAAATCACCAGGGATAGTTAAGTTCCACGGTTTGTCCATTTACGACAGTTACCCAAGGTCCTAAGAGCTGAGAATACTTGTATGGTTTTACGTTTGATCTTGTAATTGAGCTACAGTATTCGAAGTTGTTTACTATCGCTTAATTCAATTTCTAAAACCATGACGAATGTACTTTTCAATCTTCAACATTGCAAATTTAAAAATATGTACTCTCCAACTGCTATACATTGTCAGCTCATTTCAGAGAATTTCACCTTTCAATTCTGCTTAAATATACTAGGCCAGAATATTTGTGCACTGTTCTCATTGCCATTATTTTCCAACCAAAATAGGCTAAAATACAAATTATAATACAAGCGTTGTTTTGACAAATTACAACCTCTAAAAAATTAGAATTAATTTTTGATAACTCATTTTTAAATCTCTTGTAAAATAAAAACACAAAGTTTCAGAACTTTAACCATAGACAACTCTAGATAAGTAGCATACACCATTAATTTTGTACTGTATTCTCTTATCAGATTTATTTACGGATACCATCACTTTGATTATATTGTCTGTCCAACTAATGGCTGTAGTTAGACAGCGGCCTATTAACAGCAATCTATGACGCAATTCTGGAAACGCAATGTTATTACTCTAGATACTAAATGTTAAATTTAGTTTGAAATGAATTTGAAAACGCATGTTTATGATTGGTATTGTCCTTCTAAAAAGTACATTGGCCTAGAACTAGTTAATAATAGATGTAAAACACAATTTAAAAAAAAAGACACTCACCGGAAGAAATGAATGTTACGAGCTTGAAGTGTCCCTTGTGGAACAGATCTGAGTATATTATGGTGCTTCAATTGAACGTGGTTAACCCTCGTTATCTGAAATCCTAGACAAACAGGGCTGATAGATTTATTTACAACTGTATACATATTTCTTTCCATGTTTATTTAGTAAGTCTTGTGTAGAGTACAACTAGAATCATTTAGACAGGCCTATATTATATATCTGTATGTAATTTTGAATACTGTTTTATTTTAAGCGTTCTATAATATCATTCTATATTGGCTTATATATTTACATTAAAAAGCAAAATACTGAAAAAAAAACAATATTCTAGAAAAAAAATGGCTAGATCTCAGTGGAGATACAAATTTGTTACGTAACAGCTAAAACAGTTGTATACTGTTGTAGTTGAGACATTCTCGACTACACAGTTCTTTTCAGAACTACCTACGTGATGTACTGCTAGCAATTATTTGTTATTACTTCGCCCATGCAAACCTTCAAACAATACTATATTGTAAACGTACCGTACAAAAATAGCCAGAAATATATATTTATAGCCACGTATCTGCATATGTCATGTATATTTAGGCCCATCCTTAACGGCAAGTAATGCGGGTTGATATTGAACAGAGACAGGATAGTGAATTAGTTCAAATAACTAAGAGTTGATAATACAATTTCAATCTTGTTTTATCGAAGTGTTATTTTAAGTATTATCTTTTAGTAATAGGCCTTATGTTTTTATGGAAAGTATACTGAAAAGGATAGTACAATCGGAAAAGCTCGAAAGAATGCACAAAGTAGAAAGCAGATCTGATGCCATTCAATTTAAGAGAGGAAACAATTATGAAGGATCATTGTCACCCTCTCTATAAATATAGGCCTATTTAAAAATTCTTATATAAGGCTACTACGCCTCCGGAAACTAAACGCTGCAGAACTATAAAGTCATTTGATTTTAATAGTATCTACAATCCTGTTCAAAAACTAATGTTAGAAGAAAGGCTCCTATTTTACTTTTTTCCACTTTTCTATTGTTATTTTATATTTTTTGCTGTTTGTCGTTTTAATATTATTTTATCTACAAAGCATAACAAATTTCTGTATATTTTATATATAAACCAATAAAAGTTCTTGAATCTTGAATCTTCAAAGTTTGTGTTCCTGTTGTGACTGTATAAAATAAAAAAAATAATAAGAGAGGTGCTTGGTAACGATTGGTATGCGTATCGTGGAGACAGTTTGTGTTCTCAGCAATGGGTGCGCAAAAAAGACACTTAGCAATTTCACAATGACAATCAAACAAACCAAACCAAAGGTAAGTTCTTTGACAAAACCAAACTGAGATTTTATGATTCAGTACAGAATATACTTTCACAGCTCAAAGAATGCTGATTTTACCTGTTGGAATTGATTGTAAGACTATTTGTTATGGTGGCCAGTTCCAATTTGTTTGAGACCAACGGCGGGCCGACATAAAATGGTTTACTTCCAATTTATTAGCCTTGGTTTTTCAACATTAATATTATGATATGCCTTGTTTTGTCAAAATGGGGGAATGCAGTAGTAGTAGCATGGGAAGGTTGGGACAAAAACAACTGGTACCTCATAAAATAAACGAATATTATTATACAGTAGAACCCCTTCAAGGGTACACCTTCGGGACAAAAATAAGTGTCCCCTTAATAGGGGTGTCCCCTGAATAAGGGTACCCTATTCAGGGGACACTAACCGAAAACGTGAAATTGTCCCCTTAATAGGGTTTTGGCATAATTTAAATTTGACCTAAGAATGAGCTACAGTTTAACTATAACAAATTAATAACAATAATTTGCAATGCAAAAAATTATTCATTTAAGATATGAAATTAACAGATATGTAATTAAAACTAGAAAATTTGTGTATGTTCCCGATATTGTTTCTTTATTCGAGTGCAATGTTAATGACCAAATATTCTTTTTTTTTAAATATTGAACTTTCTATTGGATGCACAAGATAGAATACTATTAGTGGATGTTACCAACTTAGAAATCAGGATGCAGGCTCTCCGGATAGATAAGACTCCTATATCAAAATACACAAAACAAGAAATCTACATGGTTAATGGTGAAAATTGACAAGATTTTATTTAAATAAAGTAACATCCAATGCCCATTCTAAGTATGGAAAAAAATTCTGGTTTGGTGGTAAGTTTATTGCTCAAAAGGTTATTTTTTATTTTGTGACTATTGTAGTTGTTTTGATACAATAACAAAAAGTGTCCCTTTAATAGGGTGAATTTGTATTGATTTGACCATTTTTCACACTCAAAAAATTTCCCCGTCCCCATAATAGGTGTGTCCCATTAATAGGGGTTGGCTGTAGTGTTAAAGGATATAATTATTGCCTCTTGTTTCACGGAATGTGTCGCCTAGATAGGTTTGTCCCCTGAATAGGAATGTCTCAAAAAGGGGGTTTCATTGTATTCCAATATGTTATAAACATAGTTACATATTATTAAGACCATTCACCAGTTGAAAATCGCTTACATGCGTGTTTGTAACGCATTTCTTTTCGTAATAAGGTAAATTGTAATATAGATAATGATACTTTACTTCTACATGAACCTTTGAATATTCTCAACAAGTCTTTTTTTTACCTAATATAGTAATTTCCTATCAAACAGCAAATAAACTCATCCCTTGACAAAGCCAAAAAAATGAACAATAAAATCAAAATTTTAATTGCTTGATTCTTATTTTCTAGAATCTAAATTTAGTACGTTAGTATTAATCAATACTAAGACGCCTGCAAGCGATTTTTTTTAAAAACTGGTGGCTGTTTTAATAAGGAAAATAAAGTGTTGATTTTATTGTTCATTTTTTGGCTTTACTAAGGGCTGAGTTCATTTGATCTTTGATAGGAAATGAATTTTAAAAAAATATAAAAGCTACCCACTAAATACAATAAAAGACTCTTTGAGTTAATCAATCAATTTGTCAAGTAATTTAAAAAGATCAAACAATTTAAAAAGGTAATTTAAGTTCCATTTCCGAGCATATACAAAATACAGAAAAATGTTGCAGTCCAGTTTTTTTATTTTTTATTTTAAGTGTTTCTTTTGGAATGTTAACTTTACCTGGAATTAATGTTCAAAAAGTCAACTTTTCAAATGTTTTGACTACATTAGTTCATGCGCTTTAAAAAAAGATATATTCCAATGTTAAAAACATAGATAGATATTATTAAGACCATCTAGCAGTTGAAAAATACTTGCAGGAGTCTTCGTAAAGTATTCCTTTTTATAATAAGATATTATATTCCAATATGTTATAAACATAGATAGATATTAGGGTATTAAAAATCGCTTCAGGCCCGTACGCAGAATTGTTATTGGGTGTGTGAAAATTTGTGGAGAGTGGACCAAAATGACTGGGGGCCGCAGATTCCTGCTGGGGCCCCTCGCGCTCTGACATTTTTGATAATTTGAGGTCTTAATTGATTCCGAAGATGCAATATAAACAGTATTAAACGGTTTTTCAGTGACAGATTCTGGAAATGAGGGTGGGGTGGGGGCTAGGGAGGGATTTTCACAGATGGAGGCTTCAAGATAATTTTTAATTATGGTACACCTAGATGGCCGGAAATGGAACTCTAAGACTCGTAAATAAATTGCGGTCGAGTAAAACACATTCATATATATTGGACATACACATATATTTAATGTTTAAAGCTCAATGTAAATAAAACATTGTAAGATTTAAATGTAAAGGAATAATGTAGGCCTATTATACCACACAATAAAAACAAGGCCATAATGTTATTGGGCATTGCAAATAGGCCTACTAAATTTACCACAGGGCCACTGATCGGAACCACACGGCCGCACCGGCTTTGGCCAGACCACTTTTCTCAATCCTATTACAGGTCTCCCTCCATACCACCAATTAAAAATCCCTTTTTGGGACCAAAGTTTTAGTAGCTTTGGTCTTTAATTTGAATCCCTGTAACTAAAGACCGGCTTTAAAAGTAGTCTTTAAATATCTCTATTTAGAGGGAAATTAAGAATTTAATAATAAATGTAAGATTGTTAGAAAGGATGTAGGGCCTACAGTTACTGTATGCTGTTATTATTATCAATGCTAAAACTATTTCCTGCTAGTCAAGTCCTGTGATCTTCTACCTAACCATTACAATATTACTAACAGGACCGTCCATTCAATATAGAGCACTGATACACAAAACATCATCTTATATAATATCTATGATTATCATCATATATTTTTTTTAATGCATTAAAATCGCTATAGGGCTATATTCTAATGTATTTATTGAATGAAGGAAACATTTTTTAGTTGGGTCTGCCAAAACCATGATATTATACATTACGGTTGGATTTTTTCTTCAAAGTGTTTTAGAACGGATTACTGCATTCCACACACGAAGTAGTTGCGCTCCATTTAATTAGAAAAATACACTTTTAACAGTGACACACTTCATTCATTATTGTGAATTTGCATCCAAAAATACACAATTATAAAACTTAATACAATGTAACTAACAAAAAAAAAAATGAATCAACCAACCAACACACAAAAATAAAAACACATACACCTGTAAACGTTATGTCCAGATGACCCTCACTAAAAGCAGTCATCAGAGGACCGACCGAGAACCAGCAAAGTATGCCAAGAACCATAAAATACGCTCAAGTTTATGCCATGGACAGGTCCGTAGCGTGGGGGGGGGGTGGTTAAGAGGGTTACGACGAACCGCTCAAAAACTGGAGAAGGTCCGCATTTAAACACGAAAAATTTATTTTCCTAGATAGGCCTATATTTACAATGTTCTCCAGGTTCACTCTCCACTGAAACGAACCTCCCACAAATTAAGTCACGCTACGGGCCTGATAAACACCGCCAAACACATGTGCTCAACGTTTTATGCATAGACGGCGCTATTTATTTGTGCAACGCCACTCAAATAAAAGCGCGTAACGCGTTGTGACACATTTTCAAATTTTCCCGCCAGTGGTGGACCTTTACAGAAACTCTGGAAACACGCAAATCCAGCAAAATGATTTTTAGTTATCAATACAGAGTTAAAAAATGATATAAAATGGTAAAAGAATAATTTAAATCCGACATTTCGTTATGGAGTTTAAACATACTGTTGTTTAAAGCAAAATATTTGAGCAATCAG